TTGATCCCACCCCTAAGCGACTGGGTTCTATAACCTTGAGCTGTGGGGCCGGATTTTGCTATAGAATATAATAAGTATAGTGTCCCAGAGACTCCAATACCCCTTAGTTAAGGAATATATACCTTGAATAGTAGGATCCCTATATAATATGATTTAAGGAGTATTCCTTAATTAAGGGGTATTGGAGTCTCTGGGTGTGTATTATATATATATATATATGTATAGATATAGTATAACTTTATGATTTTTGTGTACATTTTGTACACAAAAATCATAAAGTTATACTATATCATTTATACTATGCTTTACGATTCTATATATATATATACATATATATGTATATATATATATATACATATATATATATGTATATACATATATATATATGTATACATATATATATATATATATATGTATATATATATATATGTATATGCATATATATATATAATATATATATATACATGTATATATAATATGTATAGTAATATATATATATATATATACACAATAGATACGTATTTATATTCTTAGCTATAACGGAGTGAAGTCCCAGCCCTGCCCTGATCCATCTCTCTGGGTAAACCAGACACAATCAGTCAGTCGAGATTGGCTAATAAACTTCTAGTCAGTTCTGAGGCCCTATTAAAAGCACCCGTGTCGTGTAAATGCTACCCAAGGATCTCCGGCACCATGATCAGATGGTTTGGAAGCTCCGATGCTTCCTTGAGTGGCAGAGCAACCCTAGGATTGTTTCACGCAGGTTTCAATTAGGGTAGGGGCTCCTTTAAAACAGCCTAAATGCTTCTGGGAATCTCCTTAAACTTCTAATTTCCCACCGGTTTTTCCAGCGATAGCGACTTGAACGAGCCTAAAGGGCACAGCAGGGACCGTGATTGGGCGTGATCCTGCGTGAAGTGCACAACGTGACCGCCGTGATTCTCTTTTGTGGCTAGCTATGCACCAGATCAGACCCGTGATCCCACGTGATCCTGCGTGATCGCTTAGAGCCCCTGTGTACCCATGAAGCTTTTCGGCCCTTTTCGCACTATTTTGGCCGCCTGCCTGTACTGGCTATGGATGCCTCGCCTAGAGAATCCCTACCCGCAGAGGTAGCCGAGGCCCATTTTGTAGGATACCAAAGTAGATCTAATAGATAATGCACTTGTATGCAGGCCGCTGCTCAAGCTTTGCGAGCCGGAGCTCGTCGACGGGCTGTGGCGGCTCTGGCTGCTGCACAGGCAACCCACGAAGCAAATTTAATGTCTGCAAGCCCTAAATATATAGCCCACCCCAGGTAGGTTTCAATACCCCGGTAACCGCAATGCTGTGCATATCTGATTTAATTTCATATCCTAGGCCACTGCGGCTCCGGGTCAGAAGCGGGGCCACGTCTCAACCACGAAGTTGACGCCTAGCACGAAGACCCCGGATGCGAAACGACCGGTACCCGGCACACCTGTGAAGCAGCTTTCCTTCGGAAGTAGCCTGGATGCTAGATCATATTAGTGGCTATATATAATTATATTATATAAACTATAATATATGTAATATATATATATATATATATATACCCAAAGGCTCCATGTACCTTAGATCCTTAAGCCTTAAAGGAGTCCCTAATATAGGTACTTTAAGGCCTAAGTATATACTATACTGGTATATGGAGCCTTAGGGAAATAACTATATCTATGCATATATATATATATATATATACATATATATATACCCATGGGCTCCATATAGTTCCTTTATAATTATAGTTTTATAGATCCATATATATATATATATACATATATATATATATAATATAAAGGAACTACGATGGAGCCTCTGGGTATATAAGCCCTAAACCCCAGTACGGCCGAAACCCTTAAACCTCAACCCGAAGGACTTGCCTTTAAGGATTTCAAGCAGAACCCTCAAACCTCAAATGACCCTGAAGCCCGCATCTAGCCCAGGTTCCAGCAGTGCACCGGAGCAACCCGTGCTGCATCGCCCGCCGAGCCTTCTTTCGGACACTTCGATTATCGAGACTCCGGGTTACCTTCGAGAGGCCAGGTCTGATTATAAGTAAGTTACACCAGATACATTTTCGTGATTTAAAATTTAAGTGGTTCCTTGACAGGCTCGGGAGGCTGCCGGAGTGCATCGTTCGGGGACTCAAGAATCCTATGATGGGGCTCCTATGGATCTCGAGGAGGAGCTGGAAAGGGAGATCACTAGAGACCTGCAGAAGCTGGATGCCCTTTTGACCTCTCCTGTACCTCGTTCGCTATAGCAAAGCCCAATAGATGTTTCACATTAATCCTCAGCCCCCACTCCCACATCATACTAATTATAAGAAAACCTTCTTATTCCTATTAATTATAATAACATGTATAATGCTAGTGTTAGTTACTTATCAGGCCAAGCCGACCCAGCTGGAGCCCATGGAAATCGATGAAGTAGCTGTGGCTACGCAGCGAGATATCGACGAGATCCTCGATTTCTCTGATGAGATCTCAGAGGACCAGAAATCCAGTGCTTTGGTGGAAGTAGCAGTGCAGAACTCCGGTGTCGACCCCTCGGTGGCAGCTTCACTGCCCCCGGTTACAATCCAGAACCCCAATGCTTTGGTGAACCCAGCAATGGCAGCTTCGCAAGCCCCGTGCCCGGTTGTGAGCCAGAACACCGGTGCTTTGCAAAAAGCAGTGGCAGCTTCAGAAGCCCAGTTTGTGAGCCAGAACGCCGGTGCTTCGGTGAACCCAGCAGTGGCAGCTTCGCTAGCCCCGGTTGTGAGCCAGAACGCCGGTGCTTTCCTCAACCCAGCAGTGGCAGCTTCGCAAGCCCCGGTTGTGAGCCAGAACACTGGTGCTTTGGCGAACCAAGCAGTGGCAGCTTCGCAAGCCCCGGTTGTGAGCCAGAACCCCGGTGCTTTGCAAAACCCAGCAGTGGCAGCTTCGCAGACCCCGGTTGTGACGCCGAACCCAGCAGTGCCACCCTTCTGTGCAAGCCATAACCCTGCTGTGCCGAACACAGCTTTGCAGGCCCCGATTGCAATCCAGAACACCAGTGAGCCGAACCCAGCACTGCCGCAAGCTTCGCAGTCCCTACCGGTTGCAAGCCAGAACCCCGGTGTGCCGAACCCAGCAGTGTTGCAAGCTTCGCAGTCCCCGGTTGCTAGCCAGAACCCAGCTACTGTGCCGAACCCAGCAGTGCCGCAAGCTTCGCAGTCCCCGGTCGCAAGCCAGAACCCCGCTGTGCCGAACCCAGCAGTGCCGCAAGCTTCGCAGTCCCCGGTTGCAAGCCAAAACCCAGCTACTGTGCCGAACCCAGCAGTGCCGCAAGCTTCGCAGTCCCTGGTTGCAAGCCAGAACCCAGCTACAGTGCCGAACCCAGCAGTGCCACAAGCTTCGCAGTCCCAGGTTGCAAGCCAGAACCCCGGTTTGCCGAACCCAGCTCAGGGTGGCGAAATCGACCGTGTCTCGCAGATGATCGAGCAGCTGCAGCTCTACAGACGTTCCCTTGCCGACCCCACCGGGAACACAGGCGACTTTCAGGCCTTGTCACAGCAACTAGCACGGGCGAACACGAGCGACTTTGCGGCCTTGGCACAGCATTTTGAGGCTCCAACTGGTGTTGCTGGAGACCAGCTTGCTGTGCAGCAGCAGACGACACAGGAGAAGCCGACCACGGATGTGAACATGCCGGCAATGCCTTCGACGGGCCAGGGGAGCACGCCGCCCGCCCAAAGCAACGTGGACGAGGCAACTCAGAAGGCCCTTCAGATGGCAACCATGACCGAGGAGGAAGCCCAGGACCGGAATTAAGACGAATAAAAAAGCCTTCGACTCCTAGCTAGACATACTATATCTTTAATTACCTATATCTTTAAACCCCGGCCCCGACCCATAGTGTAAACCACAAAACGTGACTGCAGGAAAGCTCGCGACGGGTGGTCTACATGCGGTACTTACGAAGCTATGAAGGCCAACGGGTGAACCCACAGGGTTATTGGAATTACAGGGTCTTGATTTCATAGCTAGGGTTCGGTTTTCGGGTTTATATGAAAAAGCGAGCAGCCAGCTATATTATGGCCAGGTGCATCCTGCCCTCCAGCGGTGCTTGCAGAGTGGAAGAAAGCACACCAGGGGAAGAAGGGCTGCTCGCCTCAGATGCATACAAGTTTCCTAGTAGAGTGGATGTTATTCTAAATTATGTGCTATTTTTTAAAGCTGGCTTCAGGGTTAGCCTTCGCGATACGGTTTTGTGTGCATATTGTGAGCTGAGCTAAGATGCGAAGCGGATTGCGGACCTTTTCAAGGAATATGTCCTCAGTGGAGAAAACTGGGGGCAATCCAGGGTCACAGCAATTCACCGTTGGACGAGGAGCTTGACTCGAGAGGGCACCCACGAATGGTGGAGCAGGAAAGATACTTGAATGAACTAGTACATGATGTAGTTCGGACACGAGATATTCCTAGAATCCCCTATGCTAGAACGAAATTTCAAGAATAACGACTTAGCATGTTTTACATTTAATTATCTACATATAATTACACTCGGTGTCTCCTTCATCTCAGGACCTGCTCGACAAGTACAACCCGGACACCGTGGAGCTTCTGATCGCGGACAAGGCCGCCCTAAGTCCTAAAGTGGATACCACTTAAGTCCTTATCGCCTATATGCTCGGGGTCTTGAGGTGTTCTTTTTAACTATATATATATATATATATATATATATATATAGTTAAAAAGAACACCTGAAGACCCCGAGCCTCAACCCTAAACCCTAATCCCTTAATATTGCCAAGGAATCAGACAGCTCGATGTGGATGGAACACCCCGACTTCCGGAACGCCAAGGCTTCGACTGGACTGTATGTGCTAGCTAATTTTTTATTGGAGCATAAAGCCTAGGCGAAGTGTACTTGCAAAATAAATGTATCCCTAAACCCTAAACCCTAAGCCCTACGCCCTAAACCTCAAACCCTAAGCCCAAACCCCTGGACCCTATCAGGAGGAGGTGAGGCGGGAACAACGCCTCTACAAATGCTGGTCTGGGGCCAAGGAGATCGAATTGGAGGTAGATTCCATCAGCTTTTCGTACGAAAGGGAAGCTTTGGCTCCTCAGCATGACAGTACGGGTGGCACCGAGATGAACGAGCAGGACCAGCGACGGGAGAATCAAAAGAACGAGGTTCGCAAAATCAAAGCCAAGACGACAGAGTCTCTTGCAAAGAGTGTTCCCGGTTTGCACTAGGCATACTCTCTCTATATATATTAAAGGTTTCTTAATTACTAATGGAATGCTTTTTTTCTTTAGCTTTGCAACAATATATATTCAGGCTATTCAGCTGGGCAACTCCAACCTGCTCACCATCAGAGGCTACCGGAGCAAGCTTGTCGCCAACAATGTGTCTCCCGGCTATAATATACATGCCCTAAACCATAAGAACTCTAAGAGTCTCGGCCCCGAGACCAATAATTCCTGCATTATATTTAATCTCCATGGAGCTGCTATACAGCTCTACCCGGTAAACCCCAAGGCCAAACGAACCTAATCCCCACGCCCTCCAAAATCCAAAACCCACAAGAAACCGTGAATCCTATATGTAGTTAACTATTATTATGTTGTACTTAAGGCAGGAAGCTCTCATCGATGCACTGTGCTTGGGGATGAATGTTCACAACGCCGCTATCCAGAAGCATGTCGGGCTCGTGGAGGATTGGGGCTACAATAATCTGTTAAAGTTCAGGGCACCCGTTTTTTTTTTAAATTCTGACTGTATATATTATTAATACCCCAACCCCATGATCCTCTAATGCTACAACCCCTACTCGTTGCAGGAGGCACTCGCCACCGGCACCGTGGGTCAGGAACTGGAGGACCGTATCCATGGCCTTGGACAAGCGAACTCTAGTTTCAAGACTGGGGCGAAGCACGTGCAAATGCATCTCCGACCCGTGAAGAAAGCGGGGGAAGCTGGTGCTAAGGGAAAGGCAAAGCCCAAGGGTAAAGCCAAGACCGCTAAGAGGTAGAGGCAGAAACTTCTTTTTAAGTGTTCGTCGATCTGCGAGCCGTAGCACTGGAACCTTGTAGCAACGGTGGCTTCACTGCATGCAAGGCACTAGCCGATAGCAAGGTCCCCTCTAGAACCAAAGCCTATGGTCCCTAACAGTACTGTTCGATGGGGTTAAACCCAAAACTGGCCCAAAACCCTGGCCCTTAAACCTAAACCCTAAATAGGCCTGGTGTTATTTAGCAAATCTAGAGATTCGCTAGGTACGATGTCGAACCCCGAACCCTCAGTATAGCCTACTGTGTTCTAGCCTACAAACATAGGGGATCGTACACGGCTGCTGTGTTGCGAAGCAGTGCAGGGGAAGCTGCAGGGTGTGCTGATGCGGCCATGATCATGATTTCTAGTTTTCTCGGCTGGGGCAAGCCTTATCATGTGCTTCGGGCTTGCTGTTCGATCCTGCCCACCAGTCTTCGGCGGTGAAAAAAACAACGATTGGAATCGTATCCTGGAGTTATGATGCTAGTGCTTAGTCTAGATCTATATCAGTGCCCCCTCGCAGGTGATGAAACAGCTTTTGCGGACTACCTCCTCAAGTCCTTGGGCACGGGGGCTCTTTGGCTGTATGCACCCCAGACTCCCACCTAAACCCCAAAATCCTCGAGCTCAACCCTAAACCCCGATAGCTTTGCCCCCAATATCCGAAGTAACATATGCCCGCTGCCCAGGCTAATTCAGCTGCTGGAATACAAGCTGCAGCCTCCGCTATGGTTCGCGAGGCGAAGGGGCATGCTTCCCCGATCACACACAAAATAGCCAAAGCTGGCTCTAGCGGCCGGTACAAGCAGAACTGTCAGAGAGACATAAGCCGGGCCCTAGGCCTCCCCGTAGCCGCTGGGTCGAATTACTTGTCTTTGTTGCTTTTAGATAGCTGGTATTAACCGGATAGTGCAAGTCGTCTTACTTGTATCCTGATCATGATTTGAGCCCTGCTCCCGAAATCAAGGACTTGCACTTCGTCGACGTCCCCTGCAAAGATGCCAAAGACAGGAAAACTGAAACGACGATGAAACTTCCCATGGTCTTGCCTCACGAGCTTTACCAATACTTGTATGCCACTCAGCTGTGTCTATTAATCCAAACCCCAAGTTTAATTTCAACCTCAAACCCTAGGAACACCCAACAGCAATAATAGCGCCGAAACAGCCCGAACCGAAAGCAAAGCTAGATCCTTTAACACAATATTCTCGACTTTGATAAATTTCATAGCTTAGCTCAAACCTGCAAGAACAATGGAGTGCCCAGTTGCAATCGTATCCCAGGAGACTGGCCGCATTCGAGTGGATCCTGAGGACATCAAGACTTTCTGGAAACTTGCTTCGGAAGCCCAGGAAAGCCCGCCACTGGGTGCGGCTGAGCAGATGATTCCACTTGGGTGGTGGGGGGACGATGCAAGGTTTAACAAAGCCGGTGACAAGATCACGCTTTTTACCTTCAACATTTTGTTGAACAATACAGAAGGAGGCTCAAATCGCATATAGCATGAGTTCTAGTTTCTTATATTATAATTAATTAGTGTTAATCAAGCTTTTCTGAGCCTATAGAAAAATGATCCTTTGAATTATTTCATAATTGTTAAATAAATCAAAGGATCATTTTTCTATAGGCTCAGAAAAGCTTGCAGGTGGGCAGATGAAACGCTACCCCGTCATGACGATCCGGGAATATATTTCCTACGGCTTGCGGACCTGGGCCCCAGCACTGCGAGTCATGGCTTGGAGTTTCAATGCTTCTTGCCTGAATTATTTTTGACTTTACCAGTATTGGTAATCTTGGCAAACTATCTAGCTTATACTTAGGGCCTGGGCCTCACGGTCCTATAGCTAGCTACACCCAAACAGCTGACAATCCGAATCTCCGCAAACCTGCTGCCGAATCCTCGCTACACCGAAACAGCTAGCTGACCATCCGATTCTCAGCAAAGGCTTCGGACCGAAGCTTCACAATCCTATAGCTATACCCCCAAAATAGTTGACCATCCCAGATACTCGTATCTGGTGTCAACCCGGCGGTTTCCTTCGACGGCTCGACAGCCAAGCGAGCCGGGGAACCGATCAAAGGACAACCCCGGGAATCCCAAACCCAAAGCTTTTATTGTTTTTGGGTATTGAAAGAACTAGATCGATTCGAGGGACTTCATCACGATTGATGTCGAACTTGCAGGACCCAGAGCAGTACTCTGCGAATATCGTGGAGATTGGAAGTTCCATTACGAGCATTGGAACCTGAGTGCTTCGTACAAGGCCACTCGCCTTTGCCACGTTTGTGTGGCTTCCAAGAGCGGGCCCTGCTCGCTACTCGATCGAGATACCATCAAAGCTATGTATATTTTTCCTAGGCTTCGGCACTTATTGCTGAAAACACTAAGTTTATTGTTTCCTGGCCTAAACCCCAAAACCCTACTGTTCAAGAACACCAGTTAGCATATGCGTTTTTTTGGGAGTGCAGTTAGCATGTGATGCTGTTTGGAATCCCGGATGAAATTAGACAAATTTTGAACCGCAGTTAGCATATAGAGGGGGTCCAAAATATGCTATCTTCTCGTGTGGGGACACGAAAAGCACCAGCATACCGAGGCGAAATGCAGTTAGCATGTCAAGAAAACTGCAGTTAGCATATGCCATCCTCGATGCAAAGATGGGCATCCGAAAGGGCAAAAACTGCAGGGAATATCAATCAAACCAGTGCAGTTAGCATATTCGTGCCTCCTAAAACCGACGAAATGACCTGATATGACACATATACTGTATGATAAGAATCGAGCTGCAGTAAACACTTACTGTACTTGGTTTAGGGTTCACTGTAGGGCTTACTGCACAGTACTGTTGGGGTTTCTGCTAGCTTTCTCCTCTTCGAACAGTGAACAGTGAAAGCACATGCCGGCTTTCTCTTCTTTGATCAGTACAGTACTGCACAACACGGTTCTGTACTGTACCGCACTGTAGTGTACTCTACAATACAATACTGTACAGCACGCTCCCCATTTGCCCTCGCCCCTGTCACTCTCAAAGTCGTGTTCATGGCAGCCTGCAGCAGGAACCCATCCCACCCAGTGGCACAGCAATGAATGTGACAGGCAATTATGAGGCATGGAAACACGGAAGGAGCCATTCGAAGGCGGCTGGCCCGGAATATATGCTATCTGCGGTTCTCTGCAGGGTTTGGACAACAGAAATTATACAAGAAGGGTTGCCATCCACTTTGCCCGTTGGGCTTCATGTACAGTAAGAGAAGTCGTAACTTTTGCTGTTTCCCCCAAGTAACCGCGCCTGACACAAAACATGGTTTCCACACACCGCGTCTGAAACTTTCTACCGAACCGTGGGCTTGCAAGCGACAAGAGGCACTTCCAGTGATTCCAGTGCTAAAGTTGTACTGCAACCAAGCACAACCTAGCCAGGACGCCAAACGAGGCATTTCCAGTACTAAAGTTGTACTACAACCAAGCACAATCCAGCCAGGACGCCAAACGAGGCATTTCCAGTACTAAAGTTATACTACAACCAAGCACAATCCAGCCAGGACGCCAAACGAGGCATTTCCAGTACCAAAGTTGTGCTACAACCAAGCACAATCCAGCCAGGACGCCAAACATTTCCAGTACTGAAGTTGTATACTACAACCAATCACAATCCAGCCAGGACGCCAAACGAGGCATTTCCAGTACTAAGGTTCCCTATGATTCCAACCACTCTAAAAACCAGGGGCGTTGCCATTACCACCCAACTTTTTCCGGTGGTTCGGAAATGGTGGTCGAACCACCTAATTTAGGGACCAAGCAAACCCCCTTCCATCAAACACAGACGATCCCCGAACAACCTCAATTCGACCCGACGATGTTCAAGAGCCTGCGGACCCGAACCACCTTGAAATGACCCAATCGAAACTCGAGGAATGGAACTCATGCTTGGTGGCTCTTTCTCACGATTTTGCGGTGCATCTCACGCTTTCTCACGCTTCTCTCACGGTTCAAAGTGGGGTCGTTGAAGAGTCTATCTGGACTATGGCCGGCCCACTCGAAACCTTCTCACGGTTTCTCACGCTTTGCTCACGCTTTTGCGGCCTCTTTCTCACGGTTTTGCGGGTTCCACGTTGCTTGTACATCGGGGTCGTTTCCATTGGTTGGGTGTGGGGTAAATGGGGGGCGTTCAGATTTCCTAGGTGGGGTCAAGGCGTGGGTAAAATTAGGGGCGTTGTCTTCAATTTACAGTTGCTTTATATTCAAGAAGGCGGGGGGCAATATAGGGTCGCCCCGGGGCGAAACGAGGTGGTTCGAAACCACCCTGAAAACTACGGTCGAGGAAGCACAGGGGTTGTAATACAACCAAGCACAATCCAGCCAGGACGCCAAACGATGCATTTCCAGTACTAATGTTGTACTACAACCAAGCGCAATCCAGCCAGGACGCCAAACGAGGCATTTCCACTAGTATAGTTGTACTACAACCAAGCACAATCCAGCCAGGACGCCAAACGAGGCATTTCCAGTACAAAAGCTGTACTACAACCAAGCACAATCCAGCCAGGACGCCGCACGAGGCACTTCCAGTACTAAAGTTGTATCCAAGCACAATCCAGCCAGGACGCCAAACGAGGCACTTCCAGCACTAAAGTTGTACGACAACCAAGCGCAATCCAGCCAGGACGCCAAACGAGGCATTTCCACTGCTAAAGTTGTACTACAACCAAGCACAATCCAGCCAGGACGCCAAACGACGTATTTCCAGTATCAAATTTTCGTACTAAAGGACTTTTGCAAGCAACCCGCATCACCAACTACACCGCGGAATGTTACGACCCAGCGTTTTCGTTTCCGCGAAGGTCTGCCCTGATCTGCTGACATGCGTTACGACTTCGGTAGTTCCCTGTCGCATAACTGCAGTGAATATCAATAAAACAAGTGCAGTTAGCATATTCGTGCCTCCACAAACCGACGAAATTACATGACATGACACATATACTGTATGACATGATATGACATACAAAGACAGTACAGTACTGCAAACAAAATCATTACTGTAATCCATTTTGTGTTTGATGTTTATGGACATTCAATTTTAAAAGCAACTTCCACATTTTTTACTGTGCAGTACAGTAACATCGATAAGAATCACACTGCAGTAAACACCTACTTTACTTCGTTTAGGGTTCACTGTACTGTAGGGCTTACTGTACAGCACCGTAGGTTCGAAGGCAGTTGGTGGTTGGCCTGGAATATATGCTATCTGCAGTTCTTTGCAGGTTTGGACAACAGAAATTATACAAGAAACGTTGAAAGCTTTTCTGCTGCCTCTACTGTACTGCACAGGGCATCCAATACACCTTGTTAAACGGTTCTGGGGGGGGGCTCAGCTACACCTGTCTAAAGGGGTAGGCGGTTGGGGTTGGCCTGGAATACATATATATATATATATATATATATGCTATCTGCAGTTCTTTGCAGGTTTGGACAACGGAAATTATACAAGAAGCGTTGAGGTTTTTCTGCTGCCTCTACTGTACAGGGGTCCTGGGGGCATCCAATACACCTTCATTTCGTCGCCTGCACAAAGATGGTAGGACGATACACCTGCCTATGTACTGTAAAGCGGTTTCGGGGCATCCGATACACAATGTTAAAGGTTGTAGTACAGTACAGTACTGTACTAGTGTACAGTACGGTACAGTACAGCGCAGTAGCCCTTTACCCTCTGCTGTCTCACTCTCCTCTTCTGCCCCCCTCATCTCCAACACAAACACAGGCGCAAGTTCCATCAACTCGTCTGAATTTGCCCCCCGCTCATGCAAAACCTCCGGAATTACCAGAACTTCCTCCGACTCACGCCCTCCTACTCAAAAAAAAGCCCACATTCCTGGCAAGAACCATATGCTAACTGCGGTTCGGATATGCCCATACTGTACAGTACTGTACAGTTGCACAACACAAACAGAGGCGCAAGTTCCATCAACTCTTCTGAATTTGTCCCCCGCTCATGCAAAACCTCCAGAATTACCAGAACTTCCTCCGACTCGCACCCTCCCACCACCAAAAAAAGGCCCACATCCCTGGCAAGAACCATATGCTAACTGCGGTGCGGGAGATGCTAACTGCGGTTGTTGGGACCCGGGAAACGTATATGCTAACTGCGTTGTTTTTGGACCCGGGATGAAATTAGACAAGTGACCCGGGATCCCGGGTCATTTGTCTAATTGCCTAATTTTCCCCGGGTCCATATGCTAACTGGTGTGCCGGGAGTGTAAACCCTAAACCCTAACACTAAGTGTATAGTTTCCTGGCCTAAACCCCAAAACCCTAAATCCTAAACCCTGGCTCAAGCTAAACCAAGGTATGCGACCGATTTGACTCGACAGTTCGTCCGCCGATCTGCTCAGGAAATCATTTCGGATTGCATGAACCCCTCTCTGCGAAATCCGCTGGCTACGGACTTGACTGCTGGGGTCTTCAATGCTGCGACACAGATTCGTCCTTGCAGTATGCATGTGGTCAACCTTGGAGTGTTGCAGGTGCTTAGCGGCTCAGTGGTGGATATGCTGGTGAAGGCTGGCTTCTTCGGCTCCACAGAGCCCGCAGTGGCATTGCACACGGCATCTTTGCGATTCAAGCAGTATGCCAGTGCTCACCGACTTGTTCATTCAGTGCCGTTCCTGACTCCGAACATGTTGGTCGATGCAAGCACTGCAGGCAGCTACCCGGTGCTCACTTTAAAAGCCTTCAACGGCAGGCTTTTCTTGGGGTTCCTTTCGGCATGCCTCCGAGCTGCTGTCGCAAAGGGTCCGAATCCCGACTTGGAGCTGCGACTCGCTGAGAGATGCACGCACTCGTTGCTTCTCTGGTTCCAGATCCAGGAAAATGCACCCCGGCGGTTCATAGACCCTGCCACTGGACAACGGCTGCTGCAAACCGGTGACGAATTCCTTCGCCTCTACCATGGTTTGGCCCAACTGGCTTGCCAAAGAGGCGAGTTTCGATGGAAGATCTTACCGAAACACCACGATCCCTCGCTGCAAATGTAGCAAATGTTTTGCTAGTTTTTTTTAAATACACCCTAAACCCTAAACCCTAAGTCCTAATGTTCTACTTTTTCTTTTCTTAAATACCCTGGCCCTAAACCCTAAGTCCTAATGTTCTACTTTTTCTTTTTAGAAATACCCTAAACCCTAAGTCCTAATGTTCTACTTTTTCTTTTCTTCAATATATATATATATATACCCTGGGGCTCCTCGTGGTTTGGTACCTACTTTAAACCTGTTGGAGCCCGAGGGATAAGTGCCGAAACCTGGGAAGTCATGTATACTATGTGTCTTGTACTATGTGTATACTAAGATGCTTCGCCATATCAGCGAGATCGCGGCCTGGGAGCGGGTAAACCCGCGAGCTTTTCATACCTTCCAAGACGAAGACTGCATAGGGCAATGGAAACTGTTATGTGTTGCCTCACCCTGCAACTCAGCTTCTTCGATTATTTTCCATATGCTTCACATAACCCTAAACCCTAAACTAGACCCTAATTATACAAAACTAACAAACCCCGAAAGCCAAGGCAGCATGATGGAATGGCGGTTGATGAGCCGCTACTTACTTCGCCTAGCTGCGACGACTTGAAGCCCTGGTTGCTTACAGCTTTCTGGCTCTGCGGCCGCTACACTGCCCTGGGTTTTGTGGCTACAGAGCGGCCAAGACTGGGAGTTGGCTCTGGTTCCCTGGAGTGGCTACAGACAAGACTGGGGGTTGGCTCTGGTTCCCTGGAGTAGCTTTCGTACTGCAGGCTAGGAGCTAGTCGCCGGATCCGTGGACCGTCGCAGCAGCAGCCAGCACGAATAAGCTTGGAATTGCCCAGTTTGGCCGCTTTCACTTGTGCTGTTCGGTTTAAGAAGGTTATTTTACATATACATATATATATATAGAGGTCTATAGCTTATACGTAGGGTAGTAGTTGGGCGGTTACTTAAGCTTCGGAGTTGAAGGGCCAACGGGCTTTCGGTGCTGTAGCTCTGCCAGCTTTCGGTGCTGTAGCTCTGCCAGCAGTGTGCTCTGCCACCAGTGTGCTGAGTCAGCAGTACAGGTCTCGATGCATTCTGTCCTAAAGTTGTTTTGCCCAAGCATATAGCTTTAGGGATGGCTATCCACAACGAAGATGTCGCTGAGCCCAAACCGAAGTTCACAGCGGAATGCATCAAGTACTTCTTGAAGCACCGGAAAACTACGATCAGCAAGCTTCACCGTTATCGAGCTGTTCTTTCCGACTCTGTGCCTTGGATACTATTCTATGCTAACCCAACCCTAAGACCTAGATTCCCTAAACCTATAGTTTGTACTGTAATTTCGTATATATTCAAGGCTTGGCAGTCCGCTCGTGATCTGGGTATGGAAGCTGCATCGGTGCTTGAGTGCGAAGAACAGAAACGAATGGCGAAAGAGGACACTCGAGCTCGTCATGTGGAAGTCCTTAATTAGAAATTAGGTGCGGATGCAGCAAGCACAACTCCGCCCTGGCTGCAAAAAGACCGCTCCACGGCCTTAAGCGAAGGTCTACTTGGAAGGGCAGGGGACTTAGTAAGTAGGTTATAAAGTAGAGTTACAAGTACCCTAAAATGGAGTTACCCTAATTATACTTATAAACGACTTACTAAGTCCCCTGTCCTTCCAAGTAGACCTTCAAGCAAGTTTGGGAGACTTCTCGAAGCAGAAGCGAAGCCTAAGTGCCGTCGACCCTATCCCTTAAAGCTAAAGCTCCAAACCCTGCAGTCTTGAGCTATGTACTGTCCTTGAACCCAACGATATCCCAGCCTCAAGCGAATCTGAAACTTTGAAACTCTCACCCGAACGACCTCAAACGACCCGCTGCAGCCCTAAATCCTGGACCCTCAACCCCGAGATAACACTCGAACAAAACAGCTGTGACCCTAAATCCGAAACCTCTGGCCAGGACCCAAACATCTCACCCGAACGACCCGCAGTAACCCTAAATCCTAGACTCCGACTACTCGAACACAACCGCTCTTACCCTAAATCCTAAACCCCAACCCCAAGACCCAAACAGGTTTTTGACGACCCTCGACCCTAAACCTTAATTGGGCTCAAACCCTAAACTCTAATTGGGCTCAAATCGGTTATGATCAATCCGATAAGGCTCAAACTCGCTTCGATATTCCCCATTCGGGGTACTGTAAGGGCTTACAAGAATCATGATTTTGATGTCCTGCAACATCTGCAAATCCATATTATTGTATGTCTCTGAGTCTGGCGACGCAGGCTCATATTTAATATATGCTGTCCTTTTCTGTAAACTTACCGGAATGTCTTCTCGCTGGGGCGACGTTGGAGTGGCAGGGATTGGACAAGGTGCCACAAGTGGGAATCCTCGGCCACAGGGAAGCGAAGTGGTTCGGCAAACACGAGGGCGATCGAGCTCTTCCCAGCAATGTCGTCAACTCCTGTCGGGCATGTGAGTTTTGCTGCTGGCTGAAACCTGAAGTATCCAAGCTTCAAAGCCCAACCTCCACCCTCTCGGATTTTTGCTTCGCTGTCGCATCTATGGCATGTTCCCCACTTGTCGGTCCGATGCAGAACTGTACAACGATGCAGATGGATGGGACCCTCGTGATACCGGGCCATCTTCATCGGTGTGCTGGCCACAAGTCGATCTGGGTGCAGGGTTGCCATCTTTCTTCGCTACGGTGGCCTTCCAGGCAAGGTCTACTGAAACTAGTAATCATGGTCACGGATCCATACGGTTGAACTCTACGCCGGATCAGTTGCATGCCAAGCTTTCGCACTGATCCAGTCTCCGCCGCGACGAGCTTCCTGGACCCGTTCTGGCACCTCAGAGGTTGCGACGAGGACAAAAGCCCTATATGACATGCCTCACTTGCCAAGCCTGATAAGCAAGGCGAACACATCATTGCGTCGCACGCGCTCGGGAGCACTTTCATGACCAACCGCAATCCCGCCTGCCAGTCCAGGTTTCGGGGGGAACCAACACCATAGTTGCCATAGTAGAATTTCGTGATCAACGAGACTCCGCTGCCCCAGCGGCTGAAACCCGCATGCTCCAGGATAAAATAATGGCCCGGCAGCAGATGCAACTGAAACCCTGGCAGCACCATTTGTATGTGTTCAAACAGCAACAACACGGTAGTAGTAGGACACTCTATGTTATGACAACGTCTACTCGGTCAACCCTACTTTCCGTCATGAAAAAAGTGCCTGCGACTGTCGGCCTGTGAGTCGCATAGCTGCGTTTCAGAACCTGCATTTTTCGGGCACTGAGTGCCCGCGATCCTAGGCTGGACTGTGCCAATAGAATGAATACTATATAAGAGCCTAAGCTCCGCTACCAAGGGAAAGAAACACAACCGAAAGCAAGCACAGCAAAGGCAGAGGTCGCTACTTGTTTCGCAGCTGTAAAACGATGCTTCGGCGTCGGCAGAAACTCAGCTCAGCCTATACACTGCACATGCAAATAAATCTTCACACATTTAAATGTTCCCATTGTTTTCCCCGCGTTTATACTCCATTTGTTGTTCGACTGCCTCTGTGTTGGATATTTCTTGATTTCCGATGTACTGGACATGGGAAAAATCTGCAAGAGGATCATGATTTGCAGTTGTGTTCGCGTGCGTTCTCATTGATTTTTCAAGTGTTGTGCATTTAGTTTCAACTAAACTTCTAATTGTTGTTCCACACTGTTCCAATCGCTGGGCTTCTGCAAATTTCATCACCTCGGGTCTACTGGACATGGAGACACAAAATCCCATGCAAAGGAATGAGAAAAAGAGTGAACAAAATCAGACAGCTATCAAACAATCCAAGCACCCACCAAGCAGATCATGACATAGGGTTGGTTGTGCCTTATGTTATGTTTCTGGTTCCATGTTTCCCATGTCGTGTTTCTTTGTTCGCCCCACGTCCAATTGCAATCTCGTTAAATCTCATCTTGACTTTTTAGTATTGAAAGTGTTGACAGGACCGGGCCGTTTGTGGCGGAGAGGAACCTGGGCTTCTGACGTCGGTGATGGCCGCTATGCCGCTATTCCGGCTTCTTGGTCTCCTGCATCGTGATCCCAGCATTGGGCTCGAGCACTGTCTGCAGCGCTTGTGCTCGGGTCCCCTGCAAACGGCTTGCTGCAATTGCTTGGACGGGTGAAAACTGGTGCTGTCGCGTTGGCAACATGCACATCTCGCCGCGCTGCTGGCTGTCCGGTGCAGGTTTGGGCGATGTGAGCCATGGATGTTTCTATACGTATCCTGACCGGCTGGCGGGCTTGACTGTGGTGCTGTTTGTGTGGCTGGGGGATCGCAAACTTGCTGAAACTGTTGCAAGGCATGATGTGCAAGCGGTGGCGCCATGCTGATGCTTTAAACTGTGTCTGGGCCGTGTGTTGAGTGGCAGGCATGGATAAACACACCAAAAAAAGGCAGAGGCTGGCTGTTGATTGACCAGTGTGCGGAGCGGTATTTGTACAGTCAGCTGCACCATTGTATGCATGGCTTGCGGCATCGTGGGCTGCTTCAAGGCCATCTGTGGTGTCGGCGCAAACCCTTCGCTGTGAAGGAGTTTCGCTAGCATCACCAAAGTTGCATCCTTGCAGTAAACGGATGTGTACTAGCAGTGGTCTGCACAGCAGAAGCGACGCCGGACACCCAGAGAAAAGACGTGCTTGTACACACAACCACAGACTGCAACCATGCCTTCTGAACAAGACTCGGGCGAGGCAGCCAACAAGCTGCTGAGAGCTGATGCATCCAGGAAAGCTGCTCCATGCAGACGGGCGATCCGAAAGCCCTGCCAAAGATGTCCCAATCAAAAGCGGGAGAGGACCCTTCCTGAACAACTGGTCTTGCGTCAGCTTGCAGAAGCCCACCTTGTCAGCAAGCACTGAGTCCATACTTTGGCACCGACAGCCAGTGCAGGCCCATTCGAGGTTCGGGATTTGATTGGAAGGGAAATGAATACTGTTGTTTGCAGCTGCTACTGCAAAATGATGGCACTAATTAGACTACGCCTAAGCAGCTTCCGTTGACCAAGCCAAATGGCCATCGAAACGGTTTTTCATGCTGAAAAACGGAGGTGGCTAAAGGCGGTTGGACGCTGAGAGTGCAACTTTTCCGCTCGGCAGTGAAAGCCGCCACCTAACAATCAAGCAGACGCCCAAAGAGCAGGCAACCAGGATGCAGTCCGTGCGGAAGGACGGCAGAGCACTCACGTATCACAAGGGCCCCGCAGCTCCTCCACGTCGGTGTTCGGAGATGCCGCTCTGGAAGATGCCGGAGACTGAAGGCATCAGGCAGACAATTCTAACACGCGGGACCATCGACAGAGGTTCGTTCACACGTCAGGCCCAAAAAAACGAATTAACACAATTATCATGAACACGGCCTGTACTGTACTGCTTCGTGCCAACAGAGTCTACATGAACGTTTGCCGGGCCACATTGGCTGTAGCATGCAGTCTCCTAGGCACATCCCACAGAAGCAGAACCCTCGAGAACCAAGCTGTGGCCCGGCCTCGGTGGAGCGTGCGGGCCATGCGGGCCAGTCGAATCGCTGATTGGTGACGGACTTTTGCAAGTCCTGCTCTCACTTGACAGCGAGACATGTTCCAACATGGGCAAGACTGTGGCCCAAAGCATTTTGGCTTATCACCATGTATAGCAACGACTCCGCTACGCAAGGATGTTTCATGCCATCGACCTTGTCATACTATATTTGGAAGATCGCCAGTGACAAGTCACGCCCTGTCCTCAACCTCCCTGGCGGCAGCCGTGCCAGCGCGGCCAGCGGCGCCAGCTGCACGCACAGCACCTGAGGGTCGGGTGCTTGAGACGCGCAGCGTGCACTTCCACTGGCCAGGAATGCAAAGGCCCAGGGGCCTCTGATCCGCAACCACGGTTTTGACTTCGCAGCGTGGCCACCTTCGATGCGATGCGACTCGGACTGCAAAGCATGGCTGAAGATGAGGAGACCCTGTCCTTGTCCAGCTCGCATTGAGCTTGCGCATGTAACAGAGGCCTGAACCAGAATCAGGCAGCACACATCCGAAGCACGCAAGATGCTGAAGTCAGAGGGCTCTTCAGGCCTTGAGCGGCCAGACTTTCCAAACACTCTTGCAGACTCTCCAAGATGTTGCGATGAAAGGTGTGGTTCACGACTGAGTAGCCCCAAACCCTAAAAACTAGACGACACTAACACAACATTGCTGCTGTGCTCTGGGAACACCTGAAAATCGTGAGCCTCATCGACTTAGATTCAACAAGGTCTGATTGGGCTGCTTGCACTTGCCAGGATGTGCCACAGACCGTACACCGTCCAGACACCCGCACAAGGCTTCGCAGAGTTTCATCCCGCTTCGCGCCGAAGCACATGCGAATCTGCTGCCATTTATGCATTGATCTCGAGCTTCTTCGGCCGAGAAGATTGGCCCACCCACAGCCCCCGAAGGCTCGCTACGAGGCGACCTGCTTGGCACACAATCACTGGAAGCGCTTGCAATGCCTGCGCACCGCAATCGAAACCACCGTGTTGTCTTTCGACTTTCCTTGTCACTCCATCACCCGCACCGCGAAAAATGAAACAACCATCGCGAAGGAGAAGGAGAAGGGGAAGAAGGGCCTGTGGATGCCGCATGCCTGTGGCATCTCTGAGGCCTTCGGCACTTTCGCACGGACAGGTGGATTTGCGATGCCCTGAAACTGTCCCCGGTTGACCGCCTGCGCCTATCTCAAAGGCCTTCGGTGGAAACTAGTGCTGCTGCACTGCGACATACATGAAACTTCACAACTCTAAATAGCTGGCTCCGAACTGGCTGCTCGGCCTTGGTATCCACCATGGCTGCAACATGGAGATATGCGGGGCTCCCGGGTATCAACTGAAATGACCGCTCCGGACTTGAATCCAAGCCATAGGAACCTGATCAGCTCATGCTAGGTATGCTAGGGTGGGCTCTGGCTCACATGTAATCATATGTAACCCACACGGCTTTGCTACTTCTAGACTTACGACAAGGGTTACGAACCTGAAGCCCAGCGCGGCAGAGAAAGCCGGACTTGGTCGATTCGAGCTGGATGCGTCGCATTGTAATTAATTGCTCACACAGCTACTCAAATTGTGGCCTGGATCTCAGCTCTACATGACAGTAGACAGATGAAGCTTGGGCTCGCGACTTGAAGATCTCGAGTTCCTCTGCCCAGATGACACCCAAAAACATGCTGAATACTCGTAGCACCTGTTGAACACCTGCAAGTGATACTTTTCTGCCGGAACACTCCATTGCAACTTTGCCAGAAGAACTTCTCGTAAGGTCCTGATCTCTCCTAAGGTCCTGAGGGTCCGGTCCAAAAAAGAAGTGTGGGGGAGAGGGTGAGAATGGGTCAGTTATGGCCGGTGCCATCACATCCGATGTTGCTTCTGTTGATTTTTGAAAGACATAACCGTTGGACAAATGCATCAAGCTCCAACAGTGCCAGCTTTCTGGAGAAAGCGCTCGACAGTTTCCTTTTGCAGCAGACCTCAGAGTTCTTTGCTCAAGCGTACCGCCAGCCGATCTCGATAGAGTTCTTCGCAGACCACCTGCCACGGCAAAACTTCCACGACCCTTCAAGGTGACGGCAAAAGAGGGCGGAAAACTAGCGGAGTGACTGCGGTGGAAGTCTGCACAGCCTTATCACGCAGCTCTACTTCAAAGGACCGGTACTGATATATCACTCGGTATCAGCTTTCTTCAGTCGCATCTCTTCACTACCTGTTGAAAAAAGCTGCAATCTGTTGCTGCCTAGTCCTGTTCCGCTGTCGAGTTGCATGTTGACTTCTCAGTGCACGCACAAGCACGTCAGTGGGTGGAGACACACATCAGTGGCATCACGACGCATCAACCTCTTCACAGTAAAACACGCATCTCTACGACTAACGTTATGGTGAAGAGCGATGCAGCATGCAGCCGCTTCCATTTACCTCGGAGTTTACTCAGAGCCTGTTAGAAGCGCCTAATACAAGAAGAAACTGCTGTTGTTCAGGTTCTTCGGCATCAAAACCAGCCTTTCTCCATGTAGACGCTGGATCTCACAAGACAACACTCAGGACATCATTGCACATCACAACCAGCCAGCCCATGAAGTCACAGTTAGACGCTCGATTCCACAAGCAACCGCTCAAACCTCAATGGCATCACAACATATCAAAACTAGCCATGTCGACGCTCGTTGCCACGTGGAACAAAAGGCTCGACCACTGGTGGAAGTGATAGTTTGAAGTGCGATTACCGCGCTGGGCATCCCTCCATGCGTAATTCGCTCTGTGCCCTGACCGGGCAGCGAAAATGCATTTAGCGGGGGATAACGTGGGATCTGAGAAATCGCGTGGGGAAGAAGACACGCCAAACCATCCCAAATCAACGCAAACGACGGTAGAGTCGCTGCAGAGATTTCAACCTATCGCAATTTCAGCTTGATTGGCTTGCATGTGTTTTGAACACGTGTGTGAATGCGCAACTGACTGACCAGCTGGGCGAGGTGGAATGTGCAGCAAGCCTCCCGCTTTTTCGGAGGGCAAGCATCAATGATTGCCGAATCCATGGCGAACACCTGGCCTGAACATCCTCTCCGAAGTTTTTGTGACAACTCTCCTCCCAGAAAGTCCCCTTTCACAGCACGTGACCTCTGCATTTAGCTGTGATCGGCCGCGTGTCCAAAGACCCGCGACGGATGGGTCACACACGCGGTGCAGACGCCCGCCAGTACTCACGGGTCAATCACCGCCCTTCCTATATGCAAGTAAGACGAAGTGGTGCTTGAAACGGTGTTACCCAGCCCCTACACGTAAGTTAACTGGGCCTCGGTTTCAGCCCAATGCTGTTGCACGCCTCTACACGAGGATCCAAAACGGCTGGACAGGATCTGGTGCAGGCAGAATTCGAGGCGAGTCCATGTGACCGCTCCGCAACATCCATACAAAGCTACTGCTCGGCTGGCTGTGCCGACAACACATCTTTCTTGTGAGGGAGCTTGAATGAATCACTGCTCCTCTGCGACACTTTCTGGACATCAGCACCCTCTGCAACAGATTGGGCGACATGTAGTCATCTGTAGATAAGTGGGACAAGCTTGACAAGCTGCTCCCAGCAAAGCATGGCCTGAAAGCCCAAGCGCTTGTAGAAGTTCAGCGCAGCTTGATTGCCGGACTCCACCTCGATGTGCTGTCTGGCACAGCCGAGGGTGCACATGCTGCTCAGTAAAAAAACGGACAAGTAAAGCCGTGGAAAACCGCATAGTTTTTGTCGGTTCGAGTAGTAGTTCGGATCAAGACGCGTGCATCCAAAGCTGCCGGGCTCCACGGAGTCTGGACTTTGCAGCACACCAGCAAATAATCTGCGTTGCAACTCCCCTGCGTCGGGTTTCCGGTTGCACCACCAAGTTTTGTACCTCACCGCACACGTCGCAATGCTTTGGTGCTTCATTGCGCAGCCAGCCCGGCTTGCTGCAGCCGACGAGCATAGCCGTCTTTCTTGACTTGTGCCATTCCAAGAACACCGTCCCTGCTTGTTGCAATCGCCGTAAGTGGAGCATCCGAAGACAACGAGGAGTAGACACGCCTGACTAAGGCACCCTGCAAAGGAAAGATGCTTCAACATGTTGCAACTCTTTTGCGGATTGGCAGTCGGGTCGCATAAATCCCAGGCCCAAGAAAGGGTTGACATCGCTCTCAGCTTGGTTGCGCCCTTCGAACTCGGCAGCATCCTGCTGGCTCAGAAGTTGAGAAGCGCCCCACACATCACCCATCCTCGTGGTGGATCATAAGGCGATTGCAACGATTCACGTCACTTCAAGCATCTGCAATTGCAGTCCGGGCTCGATGTCGCCTCTTTCACATCGAACTCTTGTATGGTCTCGTCGGACACCTCCGACAAAACGACAGTTGGAATGCGGGGCCCATGCTGCATCTCGATGATGCCTGGAACTGCTTCATCAACTCAGCTTCCCAGCCGGGCGTCTCGCCTGGGTTCTTCCAGTGAAAGCTTGCCCTGCTGCAATCCTAACACTTCTGCATACTACGTGAAGCCACGTGTTCCAACCGCACAGCTTCTGTCAGCCACAAGCAGCAACTCCCTCGCTTGCTTTGACTGCAAACATGCGGCTTTGGTTCAGATCCTAGCACTGGGAAATCAAATTGAAACACAAGCTGCCTCAACCGCTCTGCTTTGAGGCGCTCACCTAGAAAACACACACTAGAGACTAGAGAGACCAAGATCGGCTGCGAGATCTAAGATTCATGCACTTCCTCCATGGAGGGG